AACAAAAAAATGTTACCATTGTGAATGGGGGGTGGAGTGGAGACCCAAAGCCCATCTGTAGGCAACTGGACATCCCCTTACAGAAGGGTCGTGGGGAGGAGAAGAGCCAGTCATGGTGAAGTGTAGCAACGATGAAACATACAACTTTCCTCTAGTTCTTTAATGCTTCCTTCCCCCCACTGTCATGACCCTAATTCTACCTTACCAATCCGGCTAGACCAGAGCATGTACACTGGTACAGGTAAGAGCTGGAAACACAGGGAGTCTAGGACAGATAAACCCCTCAGGACCAATAATGAGAGCAGTGATACCAGGAGGGGAAGGCGAAGGTGGGGGGCGAAAGGGAACCGATCACAATGATCTACATATAGTCCCCTCCCTGGGGGATGGACAACAGAAAAGTGGGTGAAGGGAGACATCAGACAGTGGAAGACATGGTGAAAAAAATCAAGTATTAGGGAGGGGAAAAATGTGGAGCTGATACCAGGGGCTCAAGTAGAAAGAAAATGTTTTGAGAATCATGTCAAATGTACAAATCAAATGTGCTTGACACAATGGATGGATATATGGATTGTGATGAGTTGTATGAGCCTCTAAATAAAATGTTTTTTTTTAATGAGAAAGGTAATGTTCTTCAATTTAGTTCTTAAACAACTTACCAGTTCTCATTCTTTAACATACGTAAAATTCATATTTACCCTTATTTGTATTTTTACAACAAAAGCCTTTTGTACTCAAAATACATATAAAGTCCGACTTTTACTTTAGATTGCAGTGCCCCAGTTTATTCTCATTAGACAGGTGTGCTATCTATTATAGCCTAAGATTGTAACATACTTTAAGCCGCTTTTTATTTAATAAGCATTCATTCCTTGGAATCCCACTAAAGAATAGCTAACGTACAGCAAAATCAGAGTTCAGCAGCAGCTTTAGGATTCTAAACTTGGCAGTGATTTGCTTTTAGGTACAAAGTAGATGGAATAAATGATGGAATGAATGACACTGCTGAAGTATTACGTGGCAAACCATTCTCCTTTTAGAATTCCTACAGCTTTCCTGTGCCATCCAAAGCCAAAGCAGAGAGGCATCCATGTACAGCAGCTAAACACAGCACCCTGACCAAGCATCCGCATGGAAGAGAAGTTTATAACGTGCACCCTCCCCCGCCCCTACATACACACACTGGGTGTGAAGTTAATGCTGTTCGTGTGGAAGCTTCCTAGAACCAAAGGGTGCATTATACCTGGTCACCCATGGGAAATGTATCACGGAATCAACCCAACATAGGCTCTATAAATACTCCCTATAGTTCTCCCTCCCCAGAAACAGAAGCAGCATTGTAAATACGTTATTTAGTCAGATTTCCTTAGATTTAAAAAACTTAGAAAGATAGAAAGCACAGCTGTCACAAAGATCTCTAGAGAAGTCATGCTAACAATCTTAATAAGATTAAAAATAATTAGTAAAGACGTTTGGTCCAATGGTAAGAACAGAGCAGATCAATTCAGTCCACACTGGCTGGCTGTACTTGAGGAAAAGTCATCTAGTGACAAGAGTTGGGCCAGCAACACTTTCTCTTTCTGCCAAGTTTTTTTTTCTTTAATTACCCTTTAAAAAATAAATCATTTTATTGGGGGCTCGTATAACTCTTATCACAATCCATATATAACATCCTTTGTATCAAGCACATTTGTTGCCCTCATCACTCAAAACATTTGCTTTCTACTTGAGCCTTTGGTATCAGCTCATTTGGTTCCCTCCCCATCCCCCCCCATGAACCCTTGATAATTTATCAATTATTTTGTCATATCTTACACTGTCTGACGTCTCCCTTCACCTGCTTTTCTGTTGTCCACCCCCCAGGGAGGAGGTTATATGTAGATCCTTGTAATCCGTTCCTTTCTATCCCACCTTCCCTCCACTCTCCTGGTATTGCCACTCT